CTATCGTACCTATTACATTTTACAAAAATAATTAACAAAAAATAGATTTAGACAAATGTTATAAATTAGATAAATCATTAAAAAGTATATATTATACTATTTAGATTTTGTAGTTTTATATTAAAACATGTAATTATTATGAGAAGAAGATAACCTTAACGGTTTTGTATATTTTCTAAATTGTAATTACTAATTGTTATATCTACTAACACTTTATTCTAAGTACTAATAAATAAAGGTTGAGATTAATTCAATGATAATTATTTAAAATTTAAAAATAGGTATAATTAATTATATAAATGTTACATATAGGTACTTACCTATACTACTAATCATTATAAATAAAAGACAAATACATGTATAATATTTCATATTTGTTTCTAGGTATACTAGTATAGTGGTAAAAAATTAAATAATTTATAGGTATCTACTGAATAAAATTCAGTAATAATAAACACCTTAATAAATAATAATTAAATATCAGATAGTCATAATATAATAATTTATTACCTCAACAGATTTTTTAAAATCTTCGAGTTGTTTATCAGCCGGCTCTTTAATGTCAGACATTATTATTGTTTTGTTTTTATTAAATGTATAAATTTATTAGCGGTGTTTGACTTCTTCTATTAAAAAAGTATTATTTAATTTATTGTTACAGAGACACACGTCACACTCCTTCGACCATAGACCGCACACTGGCAACTACTAAACGTCTAAAACTCTAAACAACCAAAGTACCAAGTAAAACTGTTCCAGTCTACAGTCAACAACACAGTGGCGTAACTCGTAACTGCTAAAGCATACCCATCACCATAGGTATTCCACGCAGTCTATACTCACAATAATACGTGTACAATGTATTGTGAATATTCAAATATAGTAAATACTGAATAGGTAATAATCGATGTTACAATGTCACTCTGACACCGCGTGAATGTTGTTTAGCCGCTTTAGCGTCCATTACGTCCACAAACCACTGTCGACAATAACAGCTCCACACTCCACTCCACTCCACTCACACCATTTTCATAGACATCTATTAAACTATGTACTTTATAATAACGTGCATTCCGGTTCCCACTATGCAGTAATGCACTAATGCAGTATTCCACAATCGATTAACGTCTGTTAACAATTAATAATAAAACAATCATTAAAAAAAAATATATCAACAAATAATGTGATACGTCATAACTAGTATGTCTATGGTCATAACAAAACTAATCACTTTATAATATTATCATGTTTCTGTGATAGCGCGGGGTGCAAGAATTTCTTGTTCGTGGTCGGGTCACAGTCGGGCGGCGTCATCATAGATATTAGATAAACGCCGATAAAGTTGGCGTTCTTCATAAATCATAGTTCGTAYAAATGTATAATACTTTAATGTAATGTTGAATTTGAATGCATCATTATTCATTGGATATCTATAATTGACTATTATACTATAGGTATACATGACAGAATGTATTTTGTCATAACTATATATACATTTATAATCGCTTCAATTTTCAATAATTAAATGCAGTTCAATTCAGTAGACGACGTAAATGGTTCAATGTTACATTCGACACCAGCACGACTACACGAGTGCACGACCTTCGTCCAAAAATTGTTGAATAAAATATGAAACGATTAAAGTTCTGCCTGTTCTTCTGAGATTTCAAGGTTTTTCTTTTAATAGTTAAACGGTTAATTGATGACGATAAATATCTATTAGGACATAATATAATATCGTATTTTTATTACATTCCGATCGGCGATYACTATTTTGTGTATTGTGTATTTAGATAATTATCTAACCATGTAACCTAAAACGGCTAAAACCTACCTATGTTAGTTATCGTATTTGTAATTTGTGTAGATATAGACCATAGTCGTATAGTTCAATTCAACTGCTATAATTTATTTACCGTTATTATGACAATATTATACATATTAATTATCATCGCTGATTGATACTTGATAATGGTTATACCAATTAATAAATTTTCGTTTTTTTCAAATTATTTTATTTTTTAATAAAGCAAGAAGCCGAAAGTCAGCGAATTCGTACTGGATTTACTTTCGATTAGAGATATAATATAAAAACAATTATAGATAAAAGTAGTATAACTAGGTACTAGCTATAGGTAGTAGCACTTAATATATTTTTTTTAATCGTAATTTTTGTCCTTTATTTATTTGTTAATTTTTTTGTCCAACATCATATTAATTTGAAGGAATCTTCAACATAAATCATAATTTCTGACTATAAATTAGATTAATTTAATAAAAACTATAATCTATTATCTATATAGTAGTAAACTAAGAGTTAACTTAGTTCTTGCTAAAAAGTT